CAATAAGAGATACAGTTTAAAACCAAAATGGGAAGCCATTTCATGTGCATTATGATGGCACATATTAAAAAGACCTCTGTCGACAAATATTGGAGAAGATGTGGGGAGAAAGGAACCATATTGCATCATTGTTGGTGGCAATGTAATCTTGTGGAAACATGGAAACAATCTGGATTTACCTTAAAAATCTAAAAATGGGGGCTCTTCCTGGTGGCACAGTGAGTTAAAATACCACATTATGAAGCCACTGCAGCACAAGCTGGGTCCCAGCCAGGGAGCTGACCCACATGGCCTGGCGGACCTCTTCTGACCCGTCTGCTGCTACCTTCAGCAGTATACTTTGTCAGTCTACCTGTTCTGCTCCCCACTTTGTCTCTGGTGAATCCTCTCACCCACCACACCTCTGGCCTGTACCCAAGTTCTATAAGCATAAATAAATAAATCTTTAAAAAAAAATCTAAAAATGGAAGTGTCATATAACCCACTGCCCCACTCTTGGACATCTATACAAAGAGTATGAAACTATCAACACAAAACCCATATGTTCCACCAGGTTAATAGCAGCATTATTTACAATAAGTAGGACATGAAAGCAGCCCAAATATCCACCAATGGAAGATTGGAGCAAGATCATATGATATGTCGACACTATTGAATACTATGTATAGTATAGTACAGTATAGTGAGAATGACATGCAGCCATTTCCAATGAAAAGCCAAATCCAATAGGGATTTTGAAAGAATAATGAATAGTAAAGCAAGTCAGAATGATAACAAATACTGGTTATTTATATAGCAGACAATTTGATAAATTGCCCATAAGCACAAAAACCAGTGAATATCAATCAGTCAGGATTCAGATTAAGTGGGAGGCCAGAAGGGAGAGAGACGAGGAGAATACAGGATGGTGGTGAAAGAGAATTTTTCAAAATATAAAACAAAAAATATTGTTGTTTAGGCATTGCTAATGCTGTTGGCTATTGGACCACACTTTTTGAACTACTGATCTAGATTTGGTGTTGCAAAGACATTTTAGACTAGTTTGATTTTTTTTCAGTTAACTTTTTTCAGTCTAAATATATTTAGTGATTTTTTTCTTTAGATACTTAAATTTAATTCAAAACTTTTACCCAGATCATATTGAATGGCTGTGTGCATGTGTGTGTGTGTGTGTAACCATTTCAGCATTCTATTTCCTAGATATCTTTTGGTTGGATATCTTTGGACTTCTGATTGGTTTTATATGTTCAGTTTCTATCAGTTTCCCAAAGCAATTATCTTTGCATTTTCCATTAAAAATATCAAGTAGTAGTAGGTATTTTATACCTTGATTTTGAGCACATTTAGCAGAGCGAACTATCATTGAAGGAGTAATGTTGGTAAGATAAGCTTTTAATCATTGTATTTTCTGTTACATTAAAAAATAGATATACTGCACTTCTGAGAAATGTAAATTTTATTCTTTGCCAATATTAAAAAAATACATAAATTATAATATGAATTATCTGGGGGGTCTTCTAATATAGATCTTTAACAAAGGAAAATTAATTTTTCCTCAAACTGAAGAACTATATAAAATGTCCTAAATTTGTAAATATAAAAATACTGAGATTTTGGGTTATAGATTTATGGGGTTTTGTTTTAGTAATTTGTGATTGAGAGTTGCAAAAAATTAATTAAATATTATATCATGCATTGTGAAGAATTTTATGTTTACATGTTTTAATTAAAACTATTTTTCAGATTTTGGAATCGCTTTTTAAGGTATGTTCAGTATATTACAGTTTAAATTTAGCTAAAATTTATTACAGATATGTGTATATGTGTATAAATTAAGCAGAAAATTTAAATGTTGAAGAAATAAAAAGAATACCCGAACTTGCTGATTTAAAATTTTTATGTTGTAATGTATTCTGCTCTGGTCCCATTCTGAACCGTAAGATAAATGATGTTTGGTTCCAGACTGACATTTGATAAATGAAGATACACACACATACACACTGCAGGAATTTAACTTCAGTAACATACTATTTTCTTTTTCAGTGGTTTCAATATCAGGTCAATCAAATGGAAGAGGTAAATATGACATTTTAAAATTGCTAAATAAATGTTTTGTCTCATTTGAAAACTAATTGGAAGTAAAAGTTTATATTTTTTGAATAACCATTGGCTATAAAGTAATAATTGGCCTTAAGTTTAAAAGGAGTAAATGAATGATTTTTTTTCTGTGACTTACATACTATATTCCTGCACATATGTGGTACACTCTGAGTATACTTTAAAATTAAATAATGGAAATTTGATTATTAGTCTTTCCATAATTTTTATAAAAGAGTAAGTGACAA